ATTTAAGGAATGGCACAGATCAATTTTCTTAGATCAAGAGCCCCTCACCAAGTTACAAGCGAGCTTCTCCTTGAGGGGAAAGCTCGCTTGTAACTTGGACAAATACATGAATGAGAGGGGTTGGATTTGAGTGGGACTTGCACGTGAGTAAATAGATTTGTCAGAGCTTATTGTTAGGGTAGCACTGAAAGTAGGTTGGGTAAATGTTCTGTTGGTGAGTTGGTATTGTAAAGACCTGCCAAGTATGGGCCAACAGGCCTACTGCGTGTTCCTCCTTGCTTATGTTCTTAACTCGGATTTTGGCTCGTAACTCAGAGCAAAAAATCAACTGAGAGACGGCTCGTACATATCTCAAAAAACTCGTATGTTGGGTACTCGTATGTTGAGGTTCCACTGTAGATCCATTCTCTCGTATCTAGGCTCAAATTTACAGCTCACAGCTTATCTGGCGAGCTGAGTTCATGGCGTAGAACTACAGCTTGGAACCCAGGCTTCAAAGCCAATGGACCCTCAAAGAGTTAAGAAATTTACTGCAGTTTGAGAAATGAAGAAATGTTGAAAAAGTCACATATACTGTATACTGTATATATTTGAACCAATCATGTTGCAAAGGAAAACATTCACTATCACTCATTTCCAAGCCATCTTTCCCGAAGGGCACAAACATCATAAGATGGATGATCCGCTGAAATGCAATACAGTGCAGTTCTGTATATACTAGATTTTAAAGAAATATTGTTTGAGTATTACTGAGGTACTGACAAAGAAACAAATATGTATCTGTCATTCCTTTCAGGAATGACAGATACATATACCATATTTCTCACAAATGATATGAAACATAGGCACTTTTAAGTCAAATTTTTATTGAACAATATTTTCCTCAAGATTACACATGTAGCAGGAATGTATGCATATGTTAGATAGGAATAAATAGAGACACATGGTTTTTAGGACTTGACGAGTTCCTGGAGTGTGAGCAGGGTAATACTGTGTGAAGGGATTCAAGGAAACCAGTTAGCCGGACTTGAGTCCTGGAGGTGGGAAGTACAATGCCTGCACTTTAAAGGAGGGTTTGGGATATTGGCTATTGGGGTGACATCTGAACCATTGTATCTGGGCACCTCCTCAAAGACAGTGATTGTGTGTGAATGATGGTGAAAGTGCTTCTTTCTTTTTTGGGTCACCCTGCCTCAGAGGGAGATGGTAGACGTATTGAAAAAAAAAATCTGATGTTACCGATATTGTTTCAATTCATCCATATTAGGATTAATTATTAATTATTATTTATTAGGATTAATTATTTATTTCTACTGTAATACATAGTTGCTTCCTATGTAACAAACTGATTCACATGTTTACTGGCCACAATTCTGCACAATATGTTACACATTATTATTTATTGAGTAAATACTCCATAAACCTAACACAAGTGTTTGTGTTACTTTCAGAGTTCTGCTCAAAATGCTGTGTATATTATGGCACTCTAAAGACGAACCACTGGCCTTTCACGTGGCAGGGTCTGGAACTCGGAGAAAAACTCTGAGGCTAACAGTGGTCGCAAACTTTTGTTCAGAGTCTGGAAATTAAAAGGAGGTGTGGAGTTATTAAAAGTATAGTCAGAGGGCTGAAGAGGGGTTGCTGAGGGGGTTTTGGTCATTTAGAGAGAATGGATAAAAGTAGAATGACCTGGAGAGCATATAAATCTGTAGGGAAGGAAGAAGGGTAGAGGTCGTCCTTGAAAAGGTTGGAGGGAGGGGGTAAGGAGGTTTTGTGGGCGAAGAGTTTGGACTTCCAGCAAGCACGTCTGAGTGTGTTAGATGGGAGTAAATGGAGGCGAATGGTTTTTAGGGCTTGACGAGCTGTTGAATGTGAGCAGGGTAATATTTAGTGAAAGGATTCAGGGAAACCAGTTATTATAGATTTAGCCGGACTTGAGTCCTGGAAATGGAGGTACAATGCCTGCACTTTAAAGGAGGGTCTAGGATATTGACAGTTTGGAGGGACTTCTAAACTGTCGTATCTGAGTGCCTCGGCAAAGATAGTGATTATGTATGAGTGAGGTGAAAGTGTTGAATGATGATGAAAGTATTTTCTTTTTGGGGATTTTCTTTCTTTTTGGGTCACTCTGCCTCGGTGGGAGACGGCCGACTTGTTAAAAAAAAGAAAAAAATTATGGGCTTTGCAAAATATATCTAACTCACACCTTATTCACTGGGAATATACTGTAACTTATTGCTATTAAGGGTGTTGTTCCAAGTATATTTAGAGTATACTTCATACTTGAATGTCCCAGAGAGCTGACAGTAATGATGCGAGCAGGTTCACTGTGCGTCAGTAAAGGCAGCAAAAGGGAGGTCAGTAGAAAGTGGCCAGGTGGTTGGTGCCCATCTGCATTTCAAACCCATCTCAGTCTTCATATATGGACACATCATGATGCCTAAAAATATTAAAAAAGTTGATAAAACTAAGCAATGGCAATGAATAAAACTGGCAATGAATAAAATCTGAAGTGTTTAGATAATTAGTCTTATATAAAAATGTAATTATTCCTTCCCTTTCCCCCCTTTCTTCTACTTATCTATGATAAAATGAGTGTGTTTAGAAGTGTGGGTGTGTGTTAGAGATGTACAAAGTGTGATTGAGAAGGGGGGTGTAATTTAACAGTCCTGTATTTAGTATTTATAATTTTAAGCTTTTAATAGAGTTGCAAAAAAAAAAAATGATATGAATGTGATCAGCTTTCAATTTTGTGACTCATTATATGGACATACTATAATATAAAAACAATAGTTAAATATTCTCACATATTTCTCAATCACTTTCTGGAAATAATTCAACTTAACCTAAACTTTGGAAATCCTTTGAAAGAATAATGTCATGATGAAGGGACAGGTCCCAAAGTTTTATATAGGAAGGGTTGTAAAGGGGAAATCTGACTGAAAAAGGACTAGGGAAATTGGTTTAAAAAGCATTAATAAAAATTATATTTTAAATTACAATTACTACTATTCTTTGGGAAAGCAGAGAACCCTTTCTCACGAGCATGATGTTGCAAGAGGGACTAAAATGTGGGGGCGGGGGGCATCCCCCTTCTGTAAAAATTTCAAAGTGTAAAAAAAGGGGAAAAAACTTTACGTTTCTTTTTTTTTTTTGGGTCACCCTATCTCAGTGGGGAGGGCGGTGTGTTATTTATTTTTTATTTATTTTTTATTTATAATTTGAGCAAAATTACAGGGGTAAAAAAAAAATAAGATAAGAGCGCATGCCAAAGCCATTATACTATGCTAGCTTACGGGTGGCTTAAATTAAATTAAAGATTAACTAAGAATGATAAAATTCAGTGAAAAACATTAAGTAAACTGATTACTATAAAGCACAAGTGATTTTACAAAGCAGGTCTAGGGTTGATGCATTGTTGAAAAATTCAGTAAAATGGAGTATTCTGTTAGGTAGTAAATTTTAAAAAAAATAAAGTTGATTGGGTTTTGGTTTTTAACATTTATGTGTTTAAAATTTGTGAAAAAAATTTAAGATTACAATTTATAAGGTTCGTTATTCAGATTTTTTGGTTTTTGGGGTGAGAAGTGATCTTTGAGAAGGGCTTGAATTTATAAACAGGTAGTGTTTCTTTTTATTTACAGGTAATAAATTTCCGATTTTGGGCTTTTTGTGCATTGGTTTTTGCTAGCGTGAGATGGACCGAGGAAATATCAAAGAGTGATTGTGCCTTGTGTTATGGTCTGTGTTCTTTTGAGGTTGGCAAGGAGATTTTTGAGGGGAGGGTTAATTCAGAGTTGGGTTTTTTTTGTAATAGGGCAGTAATAAGTATGGATGTTTTGTATGGTGAGTAGGTTGAGGTATTAAATTTGGGTGGAGTGTGTCCCTGTAGTGAGAATTTGTTTTTCATTTAACTGCAGCCTTTTTTTGGGTAATTGGGGGGTTGAGATGGTTATTGTTGTTGACCCCCATGAAAATTTTTCCATAGGTGAGATGGGGTAAAAAAGAGAGGATATGGGCCCGGAGGGGGGATGTGGAGCATAGTACCGTATCTTCATAGTATGCCTAAGTTTGAAATTTTTTAGAAATTGTTGTATATGTGTTAAAATTTGAGTTTTTTATAAGGTGGATTCCAAAGAATTTTCCCTCTTTTGGGATGGTGATCGTTTATCATTATGTTAAGAGGGACATCTGTAGCTCTGTTACCAAACTGAATGAAGTGGGTTTTGTCAATGTTTAGTGTAAGTTTTTTGTACCACCCAGGTAGTATTTCTGTAATTCGGTATTTCAGATTGGCTAGCGGACGGGGCCCGGGGGGGAGAGAGTATGTTGTGTCATCAGCAAATAGTGTGGGTTGAGAAATTTGAGAAGCTTTTGGTAGGTCATTTATTTTAGGAAAGAGAAGAGGGAAAGGACACTTCCTGTGGGACAAAAACTGTAATGGTTGTGCAAAAGAGTTTCCCCCATTTGCGTCACATTTTGGGCTTCTGTTGCTGAGGTATGACTTGGGGAGTTGAGGGAGTGCCCTCTTATCCCATAGTGTGATAATTTTAGGGAGCAAGTCTGGTAAACTGTATAAAAAGTTTTAGTAAGTCTGAAGATCCCGTGGGACTTCTTTTTTCTTATTGCAGTGTATATATGTTTTGCAGTTTTAAAATGCTCATTAGATTTTTATTGCCTGAATCCAAATTGGCGGGGGTTGGAGTTTTGGGAGATAGGTAGGAGTAGTTTCCCGTTTAAAATTTAAATTTTTCAAAGATTTTTGGAGAGGGTGTAAGTTGGTTTTGGGGCCTATAGTTATTCAACTTTTTTGGTCTCCTCCTTGTGGATCGGGGTGACCCTTGTTTTTTGATACTGTAGGGAAGGTGGGGGATTCAAGGATTTGTTAAAGGTGTTGCAATGTTGGTGAAGCACTTGTGACATTTTTTGTATAAAAAGGGTGGTAAGGTATTTAAATCTCCTCCTTTTTTTTTTAGTGCTTTGTAATAAGGGAGGACTTCGTATGGGTTAGTCGGAGTGGAACAGTGTTTCGGGTAGTTGCGGTGGGTAGTCTTTTGGGGGGGGTATTGGTTTGGGGATTTTTTTGGGCAGGTTTTGCCCTATAGTGGGAAGAAATCTTTGAGTCTGTTTCTGTTTTGTTGGTGGGAGTTGGGTTCATTGTTTTTGAAATTTTATTTCGTATTTCGTGATATCTTTTTTGTTCCCAGTTTTTCTTTGGGGTTTTCCAGGTTTTTTTTATATCACCTGAAATTTGGTAATCTGTTCTATAATACAATTTTTTTTCCCCTTCTTATCAGGTGGTTAGGATTACGAGTAACGTTTTGTTTGGTTTGGGTTTTGGCCCCATTCTGTCTGTTTTTCTTTTGGGTTTTGTATTTATGGATTTGAAAAAGCTGGGTTTTAACCAGGGACTGTTCAGTCTTTTAGCTGTCATCTGCTTAGTTTTTAGGGCAGTGCTTGTTATAGGGTATTGGTCTTTTTTAAAAAATTTTTAAATCATTGTCAATTCTGTATTGATTTCTATCAGTGTGCCAATCAAAATTTTCTAATGTGTTGTGAAATTATTAATGGCTGCCTCATTGTGAAGTCTGAAGGGCTTTAGTGTGTCTTGGGGTAAATTTCCAAAAAGGGTTTTTATGAGGAAAATAGGGTAGTGGTCTGTGTATTATCTGTAATTATGCCTGATTTTAAAGGGGGTTGTGTTGGGCCAGTGTGGTCAAGTAGGGGAAAAATAGTCTCTGTAATCTTGTAGTTTTTTACTTTGGGAACAACCCCCCTACAGTTTCTTTCATTGGTTGGAATTCAGTGTGTGGGTCCTGGTCGCAGGAGATTTTATTGAAGCACCTGAGGTGAAGTGATCTTGTTCATGGTGCTTTAGTTATCATCTTCCCAGGTTTGACAAATTGGCTAATGTTTTATGTGGAACTCTGTAGATGTTTTTTCAATGTGGGGGGTTTTTGTAGGATTTGGGTTTAATTTGGCTATTATATATTCCCATGTTCATTCTTTGTGCAAGTATTAGTGATACATTCTAGTTTGGGCTGAGTAGTATATGGCTGTGCCCCCCCCCTTTTGTCGGCCTAAAGTTGTGTATGGTGTGTAACCAGGAATGGGATAGACTCTGTGTATCAGGTTTAGCAGGGGTTAGTTAGGTAAAGATGGACATTTTGGCATGTAAGGAAATTTTTTAATGCTATGGGTCATTGTAATGCTTGTTAAGATCTGATAATTGTGTTAAAAATAGTTTTGTTGTTTTTGGCACTGAGAAGTGCCTTTGATTGTCTGCAGTGTAGTAATTACAGAACTGTTTGATTTATTTAAGTCATTAAATAAGAGGTTGGTATCTGGATCAAAGTTTGGGAATCATTTTGTTTGTAGTGAACTTAGTTGAATTAAATAAAAAAATTTAAAAAGTCTTAAGCTAAAAAATAGCACCTGAATTATTTAACAAATGTAAAATAATGAGCTAAGGTAGTTTTTTTTTTTTTTTTTTTTTTTTTTTTAAACTAAAAAAAAGGGGACAATATAAAAAGGGGGCTAGTACAAAAAAGTGGTGATCAAAAAAAGGAGCTTGGGAATAGTAGTAGGTAGTATATAAAATAAAGAGCTTTTGGAAAATAATGCAAAATTGGAACTTGTTCTATTTGCCCGAGAAAAAGCACCCTTTATTATTTTAACAATTGTGAATGTATAAGTAGGGTAGTTATATAAAGCTAAAATAAAGGAGAAAAAATTAAAGGGCTAAAATTAAGTAAAGGAAAAAAAGTTAAATGGAAGATGGGGCATATGAAATAAAATTGGTTTAGGAGTAAGATCTGATTTGTAATATTAAAAATTGAGCAGTTTATTGCACAATAAAAGTAAAAAAATGAGGTAGTTTGGGATAGCTAGCAAAAGATATTTGGTACTTGCAAAAAAGTAAATTTGGAATAACACTAATTGAATTTACAATGTAAAAGGGCTAAAAAAACAAATAGTGATAAAAAAATTAAATGCAGGGAAGAAAAAAAAGAATATTATTAATTTGGAGTAAAATTTTACTTTTAATTTAAAATTTGAGCATTAATAGCAGTAAGAAAGTTTTTGGATTGGGGGTAGTTGGCATTAGTATAAAAAAAATAAAAAAATAAAGTACAAAATGAAGTAACGTAACTATATGCACCACACTATATATGTTTAAGGGCCTTATTTAATCTGTTACAGAAATGTCAGCTTTTCTAAAAGGAAAAGGGAGAGAAAAATGTTCGTTTGAGAGGTAATTTTTTGTCCTGTTGAGTTTTCCTTACTAGTATTTTCCCCTCTCGCGTGAAACATGATGTATTTTTTTTTCCTGTTTTGTTTTTCAGCCCGAAAGAAGGTTTTGACGTTTTTTTTTTTTAGACATCATTATGGGAACTCCATTTTTATTTAATTGCTGATTTAATTAGGTCCTTTCTTTTTTGTATGAATGAAGCGGATCATTATCTGTGTTTATTCCCGTTTTCCTAACAAACGTGTTTTTTTGATTTTATTTTTTGCACGATGATTGTACGTGGTCCTGTATTTCCCGACAGAGTTTCTTGCATGGTTGTGTTTTGTCATAGGAAAGTGTGGAGTTTTTTATAACTGCATCAGACAATTTTCTTGTTCAGTTTTTTTGTCTTGGAAATCAAAGGGATTCATTTAGCAGTGTGCATGTTCAGATTTCCGTCCCTTTTTGCTTCTTCAACCTCATATTTATTTTTTTTTTTTTCGTGTGATGGCATACTGCTTTTAAGTTTTTTTTTTTATCAACACTTCCGAGTAATCTTTTTCAAGGTTTTTATCTATTTCGAGGTTGGTTATCTTGGAATCTCCGTCGATTTTTGGGTTTTAACTTTTTTTCATTTTCAACAAAAAGACCGAATTTAAAAAATTCCTTATTAAATTTAAAACCTTTTAAATTTTTTGGGGGGGATCCCCAATTTTTTTTTTTTTTTTTCCTTTAAAAATTTTTATAATTTTTTAACAAATTTACCCCCACTTTTTTTTTTTTTTTTCACCTTCAAACAAGTTTCCCGTGTGAAGGGGGGAAAGGGGTTTTTTCTGGAGTTGTAAGGGGTTTCGGGCAGCGGAGGGCAGTGTTTGGGCTGCAGGGCTGTCTTCCTTAGATCTTCTAATTTTGTCAAGATTTGGGTTACATTCTTAGTATTCTTGGGTCATGTTGTGGGCTACGTGGGTCATGTAGTTGAACTTTCCTTGGCCATCACAAGTTTTGAGGGCGATGTTTTTTTTGAGAAAAAAAGAGGCTGGTTAGATACCGTTGCTGCCGCTGCCGCTGCCGCTGCCGCTGCCGCTGACTATGACTATTATTTGAGAAGGCTTTGGGGATAATAATTGAATTTTTAGTGTTTCAGCCCCGTCTTGGCATTGGCACTGTTGTGGCATCAGCAGACAACTGGTAAATGGATACACCTAATATCTGTGAGGCTCTTAGAGTAAAGCACAATTAAGATAAGAACAAGATGGAAAAAGTATAGCAAACTATGACCACGGCTTTAAGAGGTACAGTAAAAAAAAGTATTGTATTATAAGATTCAGAGAAAGAAACACTATCAAACTATCAAACTTGCAAAGCCACAATGCTGAAGAGATGACAAAGGAAATTATTTTCCCGTTCCCTGGGTGGGGTGCCCTGGTGAATTCTTTTAAGAGTTTTTGTGGGGAGAACCACAATGCCAATGACAGCTGACTAGAGTAAAGGGGCAATGGAAGCCACTGTCTGTCCAGTGGGTAAAATTAATTGGCAATCAGCAGTGATGTACTCTTTGAGACAAAGATGATAGGGGTTTTGATTTTGCAAGTGAGGATGATGTTTGAGAAATAGCAAGGCAGAAGCTCTTTCTATGAATGTTTGTAAATTAAGAAGGAACTCACTTCTAGAGATCCTGAATGTGCATAGAAAAATAAAACCTATGATCATGCCTCTTTTGTGTTCTGAAGTCACTGTGAAGCAGCAGTGATTAACTTGTCTTTATTAGTATGCTCTTTGGAGATTTTATATTGGAAATTAGCATTATCCATGATGTCCAAAATAAGATAGTAACAAATGTCTTAATAAAAGCTCTCCTTTTGCTACACTATACACACCCTAACCATTAGTCAGCTCGTAACAATACTCCAACTAAAGTAACTACAGACATCATGCATACCTGCATTATTGATCAGCATATGAATCTTTGTTTCTCTGGCTTTAAGGTCAGCAGCAAATGATCGAACAGATGTTAAAGATGCAAGGTCCAGCTTCATGACCACAAGTTGTCCCCCTGTCTGGCTGCTAATTTCTTCTGCCACTTTCTCTGCTGTCTTTGTGTCTCTGCATGCCATTATAATTTTAGCCCCTATAAAGAATTGGTAATACTGTTTTAACATTAAAATGGTATAAAATACCGACAGGTTGTTAGGTAAGACACATATGCAACGGTTAGGTATCTTCATTTCGAAACGTTTCGCCTACACAGTAGGCTTCTTCAGTCGAGTACAGAAAAGTTGATAGAAGCAGAAGAGACTTGAAGACGATGTAATCAGTCCATCACCCTTAAAGTTTTGAGGTGGTCAGTCCCTCAGTCTGGAGAAGAGCATTGTTCCGTAGTCTGAAACAATATGGAGTTGAAGTGACAGGATGGAGCCTTATATAGCGCCAGGAGGTGAGACGTAGGTCACTTTGGGAGGTCAGGTCCCTCTCAAATCCAGCCGTTCTCACTAGTAGAGGTTGTCGAAGTTGATTTTAGGTCTGTACCAAGATACCCTTGTGTTGCAGTGTCTGACAGATTGAACATTAAAATGGTATAAAATACCGACAGGTTGTTAGCCTACTGTGTAGGCGAAACGTTTCGAAATAAAGATACCTAACTGTTGCATATGTGTCTTACCTAACAACCTGTCGGTATTTTATACCATTTTAATGTTCAATCTGTCAGACACTGCAACACAAGGGTATCTTGGTACAGACCTAAAATCAACTTCGACAACCTCTACTAGTGAGAACGGCTGGATTTGAGAGGGACCTGACCTCCCAAAGTGACCTACGTCTCACCTCCTGGCGCTATATAAGGCTCCATCCTGTCACTTCAACTCCATATTGTTTCAGACTACGGAACAATGCTCTTCTCCAGACTGAGGGACTGACCACCTCAAAACTTTAAGGGTGATGGACTGATTACATCGTCTTCAAGTCTCTTCTGCTTCTATTAACTTTTCTGTACTCGACTGAAGAAGCCTATTGTGTAGGCGAAACGTTTCGAAATAAAGATACCTAACTGTTGCATATGTGTCTTACCTAACAATACTGTTTTAACAAGTACTTTATTTTACTACATTAATAAATCAAAAACAATTCTAGTTTAAGATATGCTAAAAATGAGTATGTCATTAATTTCCTTAACAGAGAATACTAAATAATGTGTTCAGAAGAAGAAATTAGAGGTAAAAAATAATAAAGGTAAATTACAGTGTTTTCAGTAATACGTATAACAAATTAAGTACAGTACCATTCATTTAAATATTGTTGCAAAGTTGCAGCTGTTATACAGGCAGCACAGTTACCATAGCTTTAAGTCAGCCCTGGAATGTGTATCAGGCGGCCCACTTTTAAAGTGCTTTGCTTATGGCATTTTCTAGTACGCGTTTCAATTAGTTCCCCATTCTCATTTTATTTGGATTTCCTACAATAAATATATTCATCACTCACTATAAGCTAAGGATGAAAATATTTTAAGGTAAGCAATGGGTGTACTGTATTTTCATTTTTTAGGCCTAACTTTATTGCTCACTTAATACAAAATAGTGTAAACATGTTATCGGCTTTTATATGCACTTGAAAGTAAAATTTGGCTATTTTTCTCTTTACAGCAGTAGCCAAAACCTGTTGTAAAAGCAAGGTCCCTGTACTTTTGGAAAATATATAAAAAAATTTTAAACTGTCCCTTTTCACTAAAGTCAGGGCAGTCTCTCCCCCAATGCCAACATTGAAAACCAGTAATCCAACAGTTTGCTCATTTAACTTTTTTTGTAGAGTTAAAAATTCCCCAGCCGTATGCGGCAACCAGTAAAATGATGGTCATGTAAAAGCAGCATGCATAACGGGCAGATCCGAAGGTAATCTAAGCACACATAAAAAAAGAATGAAAAAAACTTAAAAGGCTTTTCAATTAGGCTAAAGGTTTTAAAAAAAACTAATTTATGTATTTGGTGATGCAAGGGTTGAGAAAGGTAGCTCCCCTATTTCCTTAAAACTAACCCCTCTACCTCATTTCTGCAAAGGGAATAGTGAAGGGAGGTCACAGGGATTTTAAAGTCCCCCCATCCACCCCCTTCCCCCTCCCTTTCGCCTGACCCGACTTACCATACAAACTCTTTTAGTTAGCTCTGGGTTAGGGACGAACATCTGGGGAAACATTTTTTGTAATAAAGTCTTTAACTAATGCAAATGCCTTTTTTCCCCATCTTGCTGATATTTCCATACCAATATTTATTCATCATAACCCCAACCCAAACCAAATTTTTTTTTCCTCATTTTTAAATTTTAAAAACCCCCAAAAAAAACCAAACTTTTAAAAACTTTTTTTCATTACTAATTACAACACTTCGAATAAACCCCCCAAACAAAATTCACCTTTATAAAAATAAAAAAACCCAAAAATTTTTAAATTTTTAAACAGTAATAATGCCGCACCAATGGATACTTTAGGGGGTACAGTATGTGTAATACTATAATAACAAACGTTAAAGACACTAAATTTTGGTTTTAAAATTTAAAAATAAACCAAAAAATCCTTAATAAAATTAAACAAAAATGTCATTAAAACTTTAATGAAAAAAGGTTTATTACAAAAATTTTAAACAAAAAAAACCCAGATTCTATTGTTGAACGTAATGCATGACTCGTCAAAAATAGGCACTGTTTATGAGCGTCCTTTTAATGAAACACGCGAAAATTTTTAAGTTCTTGCGGGAACCCCACCTTGGTAAAGAACCAAGAAACCCAGTGTGGGCGATAAACTGCGAAAGGACTCCATCCCAAGTGAAACAGCAAAATTTTTCTTTTCAAGGTCCAAACTCCCCCTTGTTGTTGGGGGAAGGGTACTGAGATTATCCGGTCCCGGTGCTGTCCTCACGTCTCCCCCACTTTTATAAGATAAGGCGGGGGTACGTAAATTTTTTGATTTTTTTGATTTTGCCCCCGAAGTGGAGTTTTTGTTTCACCCATACATCCCGTGGACGGAGCGCGAGAGCTATGGAAAACCAAAAGGCCCAGGAACTAGGCCCCAAAGGGTTAACAGGGAAAACATATGGATTTATCTAAATATTTGTTCACTTTTCTTTTCAAGCAAATTTTGGGAAAATTTTCTTAGTATATCGGTACTTATTTCATTAAAAAGATATCTTGACAGTCAATAGGTTATTATATGTCTGTCTCTGATTCCTCAATAAATGGTCGATAAGATTTTTTCGAATTTTTAACCCCAGAGGGTTAGCCACCCGGATAACCCAAGAAAATATGTGGTCATCGGGGGGCTGTCTGTCCCCCAAAGGAAATTTTAAATCACTTGTTTGACTTTTTTGGGTTATCCTAGGTTCTCTACACTATGCTGCTAGTTGATAATCTATGAACTGTTTTGTGTATACCTGAATAAACTTGTTAAATTTTTTCCCCTGGGT